TTTACAGGGTGGGGTTGCTAGCCTCATGCCCAACCTTTCCTCTTTACCAGCATTATTTCTGGCTCAGCGAGGTAAAGTAGCGCATCCGCCGGGGATTGAACCCAAGACCATGTGCATGGTCGGCGAGCGTCCTAACCGCTATGCTACCGACGCACAATTGAAGGATATTGAGTTAGATAAATCACTGTATACTTCTTACCGTTTTATGGAAAGCCATTTTATTTTATTCCTTGACATTCCCAAGGGAACATAAGGCTTTAAACTACAGCTTCGAAGTTTCGCTAACAGCGGCATGTACTTTTAGGAGATGGGGTGGCTAGCCTCACGCCCAACCATCCCTCTTTATCGGTCTTATTACTGGCTAAACGAGGCTTAGGAGTGCATCGTTCGGGGGTCGTACCGCGGACCACATGCGTGGTCGGCAAGCATTCTTTCACTCACTCACTTCGTGTGTATCCCGTGACAACTACTTTTAAACAGCCTACTGTGTAACATTGTTGAATCTTCAAGTTATCCTCTGCCAAAGGTAGTTTCCTCTGATCAAAGAGATAATAGTAAGGTGGTACAAATGCAAAGAATATAGATTCATTCAACTAAAGCAGTAGAGTTGTAATCTGTTCAAGTTAATCTGAACTGCTCCTCTGAAGCTAGGTACGCGCATCCTTTCACGAAGTGTTAGAGAACACTAACCAGCATGGCTGCGAAGAAGTGGTACTGGTTGTCAACACTTGTCACAGCATCTCAAAATTCCTTTACAAAGTGAGCAGATGTTTTTGACTTCTTTCTACTGTATAAGCCGTAGACATAGGCATAGGAAAAGCCGGAACCATGCGTTCGAAGGAAACTAGCCCAACCCATTTATTTACTACAGTGGATCTTGTTCGGGTTAACACCTTAGTTTTTATCACCTTTAATATCCTTCATTATGTGCGTGGAATTAAGTAATCATTGTAAGCATGTGTAGACTTATGCGTATAAATGCAACTGAACAGCTACTTTGAGGATGAAATCGCCGTAAAGATCAATCTTTGCTGAACTTCTTCGTGTTCGTTTCTCTCTAGTGTCATGATTTACACCAAACTGAGCAGGCTCATTTACTGTTGATATGTCGGTTAACAAGGACGTTCCGACAGTGCTCTGACAATTACCGCTTTGTATGATTGGTGATGACTGGTAGTAGGGTGTAGCATACGCGTTTCTGTCTGTTTGGGATTTATCACAGTTTTAGAGATGACAAGGGCACGTGTATGATCAGAATGTCCGAAATGTATTGCGCAAATATATACCACCTCTCAGCAGCTGGAGATGGCTGAATCCCCGTGCGAATGATGGTATTCTCACACCGAGAGATGAAATACTCAGAAGTATGTTATGTATGTCCAAACCAAGTTCATTTTTAACGGTTTGAAGTATGGTTTGAGACTGCTTCATATCAGCAATAGCCTGACTACTACTGGGTGATAATTAATAGGCCTAGTTGCACGACACTTGATTGGTTTTCAGTTTAGAAAAGCAATGGTAACTACCATTCAAATGAAACAACAAAAACCACTGTGGCTTAATCTAAACCAAGGTGTCTGCCTTAAGATTTAGAATTTCGCCGCTGTTGTAGCAGTAAAATAAAATATGTACACCATAGGCATAAGCTATAAGCCTTATAGTGGATGGCTTGTAGCAAATGTTGTAGAGATACAGACATGCAGTCAGTCAGGCAAGTTATTGATTTTATTTCTTGAAACTCTGTATTCCTATTGGTGTAACGCAATATAATTGAGAGAAAAATCCAGACTAGTTGTACAGACATATATGAGAATGATTGCATTTAGGACGAGAAAAACTGGATTACTTTTTTTTATCATTCCATTGGGTAGCCTGAATAAAAGCTTTCATTTAGGTAAGAATTATTTTCTTACTGTGAATGAACTGCATAAACTATCAATGTGAAAGACTGTTTTAGGCAGAATATATAGCAAAAGTAGGTGATCAGCGGTTTTTAAAACTATGTGCTGTAATATTAGTACGCTTAGCATTGACTACAGGCCGGTGACGATCTTTTAGTCATACGGAATATTGTGTTTGAAAGAAATGATAGGAGGCGCAGAGAAGATGAATCTTGCTTGTTACGCGTTTAAAAATATATGGAACTTTAGTAAGAAGAACTGAACATGTGTATTGTGTTAGGTTTGATTCAGTGTCCCGTATAATTTTGATTATTATCGTCATTTTCATATTTGACATTGTCTGCTGCACATCATTATAATGCGGGGGTGGGGTGGGGCGGTGATCCGCATCTTACTTATCTGACTAATTAGGAACAACAAATTATATTCACTTGAAGAGCTTGTGTTTCACTTACACGAACACCGAGCCGAGAGTACTTGCATGGCTGTTAGTTTCATGTTATATGGCGTTGGTATGAAGTCTTCGACCTAGGTTTTGAGCTTGTTGGCACCCACCAGTCAGCAAGGCGTATCTGCGACCTTGAAGAAACTCATATCCCTTCTCGGATTCGAATCCGCGTCAACCAGTGAGTACTGCAGTCAGAGACGTGGGCACTGAGGTATTCGGTCTAGCTATCGACCTCCTGTAGGACTGTATTAAGTACTTTGGTTAGAAACTAGGTATTAGCTAGTATCGTGCATCTGACTCATTGTTTGCTGAAGATTGAATTCTTTCACTTAGGTCCGCAATGCAGCCACCATACTAGGTGGCTCACCATCCAATGCACTCACTCTAGATTGATTTTAGGTGGTTGGAAGTACTTGTCAGTCGACTGCCTCCAACCGTCTATCATTAATTCAGAGTACACTACAGTTATGAGTCACGTAACTTCGTCATAAAGTTGAAAACCTGACTGATGGGATTCACTGTGCATCAGCACCAAGGACTAGATGCATGATTTAGTTTCTATTTATTGTCTAATCTATTAAATTACTACAAGAGGTCAGTCACGAGCTCAAATAGACCATTGGTAACGTTTTTGACTGCAGCACTGGTTGATCCAGGTTCCTATCTCAAAAGGGAGATAAGTTCCTTCAATAATGCAGGTATGCCATGCTGAATGACGAGTGCCAACAAGCACAAAACTTAGGTGTAGGGTTTCTTACAGATTGTCTCTAACCAACTGACAATAATTCACAGTGCTCCATGACGTTGAGCCACATTGCAAACTTGACTGATAGAATTCAGTCTGCAACCAACGAAGGAATAGATGCATCACGTTGGTTACTACTTGGCATCCAATCAAATGTAGACAGTGCTATAGTTCTGGATAACATTTGATGACGATCACGGTGACGAAGATCAAAGATTGACAAAAACACTGCATATGAGGTACTCGAGCATAGTCCGGCGACTTCTCTCGAGACGTGAAATATGTAAAGTGGTTGGTGGCAGTCGTAAGGCAGCCATGTCTGGGCCTAAGTTTCGTGTTTGTTGGCAATCGTTTCATATTATATTTATTGCAAAGCCCATGAATCCTAAACCACAAAAGCCGCCGACGCTTAGCGTCGCGAAAAAACTACTCCACATGAACCTTCAATTCAATGGAAATTTATCTACGGAAACACTGGGAAATCGACTGTCCCGTCACTCAAGAAAGCCTTCTGCGCAGCTGAAATAAGATTAACCTTCTCCACGAAACCTATGATTCGTATGAACGTGAAGGACAAGCTACCACTTCTGTATCTACCAATTCACCTGCTCGTGTGGAGCCAGGTATGTTGGTCGTACCCAGCGTTCGCTATCCAAACGTATCACCTAGCATTTACCAACATGGTTTTACAAAGGAGAAAAACGATGCCCACGTAGCTCCATCTTAGAACATCTGATAGAATCCGGACACCAAGCTGCACCCCAAAAAAACTTCAAAGTCATCTACAGAGTAAGAGGTATTCTTCCTGAAGGTGTACGTATCAGACTTCTTCAAACTGCGAAAGCAATAGCGATTCACTTGATAAATCCTGAACTCTGCATACAGAATAAGTTCATTCAATCACTCACTGCACTTGCAATGGACGTGATCTATCTTATTACCCGACAAGTAAATTCTACCTAATCTTTTTTGTCTGTCTCTTCATTAGTAATATTCTGTCTTCTCAATTGTAATATTTTACATTTTCAACTTTATTGTTCTCTACCCCCACGCGATTTAATTTCTGAATATCACTACCACTGTTACTGACTTGACCGACGTTCAATTTCTAGTCATTTATGTTACGTCATCCAAGTTATTTGCTGAATTTTGGTTCTAATTTAAATGGCATTATTATCTACCCCACTTCTACTTAGTCTCTACCTGTAATTACCTCTGTTGCTACCCTGACCTAAGATGAGACATTATATTACGCCATCTAACTTACTCAATTTTACTTTAGTTGCTGTTTGATTAACCTTGTTTCTATATTAGATCATTCTTGTATTACCTGATCAATTATCTAAACTTGACAAACCTTATGTAAACACACACACAAATAATTATGTATAAATTCGATTGTACAGCTATGCGAATAAATTCGCTGAAAAGAGTCTCTTCGCTGAACGTCCTCTCTTTTTCATATGACTCAATGGGGATTTTTAAGCTACTCATACCAAAGTGCATCTGTATTCTTCAAGGAACTCCTCTCCTTTCTGAAATTCAAATCTATATCACCCAATGCTGCAGTCAGAGATGACCTTACCACTGAGTCAGTGATTGGTTGACCTCCTGTACGACTGTATTAGTTACTTTGATTGGACACTAGGAAGTAGCGAGTGTCATTCGTCTCTTCGCTTGTTTAGTGCATAAGGCTGTTGAACATTCTCAGATCAGGAAAAAAACAGATACCTAGTTCTATCAATTCACTATGACAACTTTTACAATCGGTTAGTCCCTTGAAAACATTAATTAAACCCGTCATAAATACGCCTGTGAATAGCGTATTCAGTTAGGTTAGAACATATACATATGTTTGGATATACCAAAACCTGAAAATTCACCATGGTTTCATTTGTCAACTTACATGATTGAAATTGATCTTATACTTATGCTTGATTGCAAACAACTTCACCAAAGATATTGAAAGGAAGGTACTGACAAATCCGATGAGAATGGCCTCACCAATCAAATCTGGTATAACAGGCCAATACGGTAGAGTTGTTTGTGGCATCCTATAAGTAGTAATATTACATAAGGCAATTAAGTGAGAAAAGGAAATTTAAAAAAAATAACAAAAGAAGCAACATTAGTTTCAGCTGTTGGTTTGCAGGGATTTGATCGACTACAAGTTTAATTACTCATCGATTTCAGTTTCGCCTCAGTTTGTGACTCTTTATCCATCTTCATAATGAAACAATGAACTCGTTGGAGATCAAACACAGGACCTTCAGTCGAGAACTAGCTGAAACTGAAACCCATAAAACTGGACACCAGGTAGGTGCATAGGTGCGTAGTGTTGAAGAATTCAAACGGGGACGAAACATCTGTCAGGTACCCCCTATTGGTTTTCAACGGTTCTTTAACCGACAAATATATAAGCTAGTGATAAAACTTTAAATCAACCAATATTGATCCGAAATTCGAATTAATTTCACAGCAATCATTTCTATGCCTTCATCATAATTCAAGGTGTTTCTGTTGCATAAGCACCATCCAGAAAGAAATTTATTCTTGAAGACACTTCGCTATAACATCGCCTGTTATCATGATGTCGTATAAATGTGTTTAACTTACTATTCTTAGTGTATGTTTTTCTGACAGAGTATTGTATTGGGTGTTTGGTTAACTTCAAAACTACACATGAAGACGCCGCCAACCATAAATGAAACAAAAAACTATAATCAGACGTATAAAAACTACATACTACTGATTGGTTGGAATGCGTAATCGTCTACCACTGATATCAACCAATTGTGCTTGCTAACTAGCCAAATCGAGGTGATCTAAAAACCGGACGGCCTTTTCTGTCGTTTGGGGTCAAGCCCATCAGCGGTGTACCCGGTTTGACTCAATTGTGAATGTTGAATCAGTTTAAACCGATTGATTTTTGGCTTACCTACCCGATTCAACTGATCATATCATAAATCAAATTCACAATCTGCAATCTACACAGTTCAAGTGGTGAAACATTTCAAACAAGAGTTTTTAGTTACTTCCCGTCTTCGAAACTGAACATTATTCATGTATCCAGTTAGTTTATTAGAGTTCACCGACATTAACTCTTTTCACTCCTAACATTCTGAGCTGAATATAGAGCTTTAAGTCGCAAAGTTTCATTAGCAGTTATCACAATGATCTTACAGGATACTGTTGCTAGTCTTACAGTCAACGATTTCCTCTTCTCCGGGATTTACTAGGCGAGGCTTTTATTTATGTAATTCAGTTGGGATTAGAACCCGGACGACGACGACGACGACAGTGGTTAATGAGCATTCTGCCATTGTTCTACTGATGCGTAGATATTGTATAGTAAGAAATATTTCAAAATATAACTTGAATAATTAAAACAATAAGAATTAGAGAAGATATGGTGTATTGTAGCCCAGTGAATCAAGGATGTCACTAAAAATATCAGCTTTAGTGCTAGTTGAAAACAAAAAGAAAAAGTCTACAAACACATAACGCCTTATTATCATGAAACATGCAGCAACTAACATTGCCGCCAGTAAATGCTTAAATTTAACTTTCACAGTAGCTGAGTAATAAATCGGTTTAGGTGATATTCGATGGATGATTGGCAAACGGTTCATCAGGCTAGTTTGTTTGAATAATACAAACTTTCATCTAAATTATGTTCTGTAACTTCTAGTTTTGGAAGTTTCTTACAATTGGTTAAACCTTAATCGGCTTAGATTATTATTGTGTTACTATTAGTCGAAAAAAGATACTTGATCATGATGAAAATGTCAGGATATATGTCTGTGATGCCTGTGTTTACCAGTTCAAATATATATCTGACAGCAGTGATCAGATTCAGTTTGCTTAGTGGGATGCTAAAGCCGATACATAGAGGTATTATCAAGATTATGTAGTCGAAATTATTTTTTAGATAGTGGTTAGCGATGGAGACCACAACACGGATTTCATCCCACTCGGACTCATCGGCCGCATACGCTGCCCTCGAATATTGGGTGATGGCGTTGCCAGTACTCAAAGCTTCTTAGCCCACTGGTCTAATGCATAACGCATTGGCGTTTGAAATGACTGGTAGTCTATTTAAGCCTCAATGGGACTTAAGTACGACTAGCTGACGACTTCCGAATAGGATGCAAATCGCGTTCTGAATCCTATTAAAAGCTACCACTAGACGAGCACTGACAGCATACATCGTTTTAAATTGAATTAATTATGAAAGTTATTCCGTCATGAATAGATATCAGCTTGAAAATTAAGGAGTACTAAACCATGGCGAAATCTCAGTTTCCAAACACAGTGGAATTCAAATAATGGGGCATAACTGAGATAGAAATAAGCAATAGTAGATAAGTGATTTATAACCTAATGGTGTTAAATGCGAACGCATTCGCATTTCAGCCTCAGTGAACCTACATTCTACGCCTTCTGGGATTATAGAAACATTATCAAGTGTTGATTCGCAAGGATTTAATTGGTTAAAGGTTCGCTCACCAGTTGACATCGATTAGAGAATCATTGGAAAGTCAGAGAGTATTGGACAGCTTTTTCGTCCCAGTTTGAGGTTCTTCAAAAGTATCAAACCAGTGGAGTTCTAACGCAGGGACTTCCAGTTAAAAGGAGAGTTCATCTTTATTATTCAGATATTAGGCTCCGATCCAATGGCAAATGAATTCCATCTTCTACCAGTCCACGACTTACATAGCGTAACCTCCAACCAATGTCACAGGTGAGTAATTGTCCTCTTGCTTGACTTGATGTACCCCACTGGTTACGACTTCTTACTAAAACCCCAGGTAAATATATATCACGAAATGGTAGAAGTTGGGATTGATGGGCTGGCCATTGGATTGTGCCCTAGTGGCTGAATGGTCAACGAACTCGCCTTGCGACCGGAAGGTCCTGTTTTCGAACCCCAGTGTGTGTGCGTCCCAAACTAGGACAACAGGTACAAGTATACGGTACTGCCTGGTTTTCAATGGTTCTCTAACTTATGTCATCTCGTGAATTACAGAAACACTCTGAAGGGTATTCTCTGAATCTTTTACCTGGTTAGATTTTATAACGCGATTAGACTTCAACTCCATTTCCTCTTATAATTTATTGATATAAGTAAGTTTCGTTTTATAGAGCTATTTCGATAGGCATCTTTATTGTACACCATAGACAGTTCTACGATAAGGTTATTAATTGTGCTGAGACAAACTTCTCGCGTTTTACAATTTAAGTGTTGATTTGCAAGGATTCGACTGACTTCGGTATTTCATCATCAACTGACATCGGTTAGAGGATCATTGTAAGACCTGGGAGTACCAGACCACTGTTTCGTCCTAGTTTGGGAATCTTCAGCGGTAATCACTGACTGGGACCTAATCCAATTGTTGGCCATTGGTACACCATTAGGATGCTTGTAAGCCAAGCAGGAGGCCCGGGTTCGGCTCCTGAACGATGCATTCGCCTGGTTTTATTAGGTGGTAGCATAGTGGGAAAAGAGGAAGGGTTGGACACGTGGTTAGCTATCGCACTCCGAGAAAACAACATCACATCTACTGAAACTTCAGAGTTCGAGACCGTATGTTTCACTTGGCACACAGAGGAATGGAAATAACACATAATATAATAATAGCAAAATAAAAAATATGATTATAAATATATGTTCCTATAGACTTATGCAATACTGCATGAGATTAAATATTCGTAGTGACATACTACTGATTATTTTTTATAGTAGCACATTGTATTTTCGTGAACAGTAATTCAAATTTTCACACTACTGAAATTGTGGTGTCTGTATGCTTCAGAATGTTATATTTTATTAAGTAGCATTTGAAAACTGTTCATTTCTGTGACATATGTATGGGCAATATATAACTAACTTGTTAGTTGAAAGTAATGGAAGAGAGGATGTCCTGCTGAAGTCCTATGTTCCACTCGAAGGGCAGGGAATGGACAAGAATAATAACCTAAAATGTTTTATGTGCGCCTATGGCTCATTGGGAGAATAATTGCCAACCACTCACATGTGGTCTGGAGTTCCATTCCCGGCCGACTTACTCCCAAACATGTCATAGCTGATAGTAAGCTTGGTGAAGAGGGAAGGTTACTCGTGAGGCCTCATCCCATAAAAAAGAATAACACCGCGGCTACTGATACTTCACAGCTGGACCCTGAAGCCTCACTTTGTTTCACGTGGAGCACAATGAAATGAAAAAAAAACAACAGTATTGAATAATTATTGGCTGGTTTTTCAGAAAGCACATTTATGATTAAATTGGGTGTTTTAACCCATATACTAACCAAAACTATAGATTGTCGGTGTCACAGCTGCTATTGGGTGGAAAATACGAGTGTTTGAATAATCTTGGCAACTTTTATTTTCTGTTAATAGTTCGCTAATCATTAGCTTGTCTTTAGAAAACAGTGTATTATATATCATTTCTCTTTGGCACGAAAACCTCAGGACTGTGACTTATCTTCAGTTGTATTTTACTGTAGTATGTTCTGTTGTTCTCCGCCACAATTCCTTAGATTAGTAGTTAAATCACACTATCTGATTTCACTTATATACCACAGTCTACTATCATTTTCTCGCCTCATATGAAACATATAGCTAGACCTACCGTTTACTTGCATCACTGGACAACATATTATTAATGATTTGTAATGTAAGAGTCTATACTAAATAGAATCGGGAGGAGTGGAGTTGAGTGCCTACCAACAAATGCTGACATTTTCATGGATTTAGTAGTGAGTTATGTTAGTTGTTAAGTGACGCAGACTTCTATCAACAGCCGCTTTCACTGGTTCCATATTCAAGATCAAATGGCTAGCGAGAAAGAAGTAGCAACAATAAACTCTGCGTAGAAAACGATCCAAGAATCTATAGCTCAACAGAAATATGTAGAAGAAAATGGAGACACACACACACAGAGGAGACCATCGAATGACATCGTGCGCCATGCCATCGCTTCAGTGGAACCTTAATGGGTAACAACGAATTGGGCGTGTGTTCAAGGATGGCATAGAGGAGACCGTGGGAGGAATATATACGAGAGTACGGGCAGTCAGTTGATAAGTGACGCGATAATATCACCTTCCTGTACAAGTTGATGTCAGCAAAGTGGGACTTGAAATTGCGACTCAATAAACTGAAAGACTTTATGAAATATAAACCACCAATAGTTAACCAGAATTCAATTCTCTATAATAAGGGAACTCATCATGGGTAGAGAAGCTCTCGGAGAAATGAATGAAAATGGAGAACTCTTCGCCGACTTCTGCGCCTTCAACGAACTAGTGATTGGTGGCAGTGTATACAAGCACAAAGATATCCACAAGGCTACATCGGTGTCACCAGATGAGCGAACCAAAAACCAAATTGACTTCATCTCAATACTGCTCAAGGAAGTGGAGGCGCAGCCTACTGGACACAAAAGTAAGAAGAGGAGCAGACGTTGGCTCAGACCACTATCTCGTACAAGGGACAATCCAAATCAAATTAAAAGTTTTCAGGGAAACAGGAGCTGCAGATAGACCACAAGCCAAGTTCAACACTCAAAAGCTGAAGGACCAGGCTACAAAGGACATCTTCATTGCAAGCATAAGGGAAAAAGCCGAGACACAAATCAACACTAGTGATGTCGACGTGGACGTCGGAAAGCACTGGAACAACTTGAAAACGGTGTGGAGTCAAACCTGCATGGAAGTTCTAGGCAGAAAGAAGAGGCAGGACAAACAGTGGCTCACTACGGCCACTTGGAAACTAATAGAAGAGAGAAGGATAGTGAAACAAAAGATTATCCAGTGCACCGACGAGCAACAAAAACAGGAGTTGAATGCAAGCTACAATACGCTGAACAAAAGAGTGAAGAAGAGTGCCAGCGAAGACAAAAGAAAATATTATGAAGCCATGGAAAGTGAAGCAGAACAAGTCGCAGGCAAAGGAGACCTCGCCACACTCTACCAAACAACTAGCCACCTATCGGGAAAAAGTTAGACACAGATTAAGCCAGTAAAGGATGACAATGGAAAGTCAATCACCAAAGAAGTGGAGCAAAGAAAACACTGAGCTGTGAACACTTCAAAAGACTTCTAAATTGACCCCCACCTACAACGCGCCCAACAATACCAACAACGGAAGCAGAACTACCAGTGAACATAGACCCCTCGACGAAATAAGAAGTCATGAATGCAATCAAGATGCTAAAAGCTGGAAAAGCAGCAGGATCAGATAGAATCCCTGCAGAAGCATTGAAAATGAACCCAGAGACAACAGCGGACTTGATGACGCCATTTCTGGAGAAGGTTTGGAAGGAGGGCAAAGTAGCCGAGGATTGCAAGAAAGGATACTTATTCAAACTACCAGAGAAAGGAGACTTGAGTCAATGTGAAAACTGGCGCGGAATCATGCTCCTGTCCACCCCAAGCAAAATACTAAGCCACATCCCATCCTGGACAGAATCAAACACGCCCCTGAATGAAAAACTTCGACCGGAACAAGCTGGATTCAGGAGAAACAAGTCATGTATTGATCAAATCGCCACACTACGGATCATCATTGAACAAAGCTTGGAATGATAGTCAACTCTCTATCTACTCAACTTCATCGACTTTGAAAAGGCCTTCGACAGCGTCGACTGAAAGGCCATTTGGCAACCACTTCGCTACTACTAAAGGGGGGCCATCGACAATTATACATCTCATCCAACACTTAGTTGTACGACAATGCTGCATGCCAAGTAATCCACAACGGGAAACTTGTGGAAGCCTTCGGAGTGAGGACGGGAGTGAGGAGGCAAGGCTGTCTACCATCGCCAATGATCTTCCTGATTGCACTAGATTGGATAATGCGACAAGTGACGGGCAATGAGGAAACAGGCATAAAATGGACTCACACAAAAAAGAAACTTGGAGGATCTGGACTTCGCCGATGATGACATATGTCTGATTTCCCACAAACTGGAAGATGTGCAAGTGAAAAGCAACAAGCTGGCAGAAGAAGCATCCAGAGATGATAGGACTTCAAGTGAACATAGATAAAACAGAGGTAGGTGATGAAGATTCCTGGTCAACACCAACAGCCACAGCAACAACAACAGACAACAACCAGCCAGCATAAATGGGAGGAACCTGAAAGAAACAACCTCCTTTAACTACCCACCTACCGATCTGGGAAGCATCGTTTCCACTACAGGCGAGTGGAACTGACGAGGATATCAAAGCCAGAATCGGAAAAGCAAGGCAAGCTTTCATTACTCTCGTCAAGTCTGTGTGCAGGAGGTCAACATCACTACTCAGAATCAAAAATAACATCCGGATTTTTTTCCAACTCCAATGTGAAGTCAGTCAGTGCTACTCACTATACGGATGGATCAGAGACTTGCACTGAGCGTCATAAACAGCATCTCAAACAAACTTCAGACCTTCATTAACAGCTAGTTGTCTTCGCTCAATACTCCTCTGAAGATCAGATGGCCGGCTGGTCAGAAAAGATCAGCAACAGGGAGGGATCTCTGTCAATGAGCGAACAGCACAACACAGCAGGAACCGATTGTGAAACAAATAGGCAGGAAGGAATGGAGATGGATTGGCTGGCCATATTCTGAGGAAGTCATCAAAAGACATCGCTAGACAAGCCATCGCTCGAGGGGAACTCGAGCGAAAGGGAAGCGGTGAGTTGGTCGTACAAGAATGAATTGGAGGAAGTCATGTGAAGAGGAGATCAAAAGCATGTGGGCAAACTTGGAGCGGGGTGAAAAAGTTGGCAGAAAACAGAAGGCAATGGAGATGCACAGCTGAAGCTCTATGTTCCTCTAGGAATTAAAGGATATAATAATGATAATAATAATAAAAAAAGACATTAATGTACTTACCCGCTTGCAATATATCCAACAATTGAAACATTGTAATTTGCTTGTAAATTCATAGTGGCAGAAGTCACTGTGCCCAAGGCAATCTAACCAATGTAGAAAGTGAACAGTATGCCAAAGAATAAGGGAGGAGAAAAATAACAGTGATAGAAAATAAACACGATAGCAGATACATAGGTGTTATCTGAATAAGTAGTTGTGGACAGCAGACGTGATTTTCAGTGAATAAATTTCAGTGTACCCTGGTTTCAGTTAAAATAATCTCTTCCATATTCAAAATCTAAATTAGTTGGAGAGTTACGCAACACAGCGAAACAAACAAATTACGATTACCAGGGTAGTAAGAGATTAGTCACACTCTCTTTCTGAAAACAGAGATTAGGTCGAAGCCTTTTGATAGCAATAGCTGAAATCCAGGGAGTACTGGATAGCTGTTTCCTACTAGTTTGGGATTGATCATCTGTATGCCCTCACTGGGTTTTGAACCCAGGACCTTCTGGTTACCAGGCAAGCTCGCAAACCATATAAACACTGGGACCTGATTCAATGGCCAGGACATGAATTCTAACTTCTATCATTTCGTGGCTGTAGCACGACCACTAACCAATGTCATCTGTAGGAACTCTATCCTCATTTCCGACTGGATAGACCCTACAGGTCGCGACGTCTCCCTGAAACTCTCTCAAGCCAACTTAGCCCTGTAACCAGTTACTAGTGAGCAGCAGATTAATTTTCAAGAGTTAGTTTGGACCCCTGCAGAAGTCGTGACCAGCAGGGCCCACTAGTGTGACGAGTGAGGAAAAATACTCGCCGATGACATTAGCTAGTGGTCGTGCTAAAACCGCGAATTGATAGAAGTTAGAATTCATGTCCTGGCCATTGAATCAAGTCCCAGTGTTTATATGGTTTGCGAGCTTGCCTTGTAACCAGAAGGTCCTGGGTTCAAAACCCAGTGAGGGCATACGGATGATCAATCCCAAACTAGGAGGAAACAGCTATCCAGTACTCCCTGGATTTCAGTCATTCTCTAACTGATATCAATCCGTGGTCTAACCTGAAACCAAATCCATCGGAAACTGTCAGTGTTGGAGTACATTTATAAGATGAAATGATAGTCCGCTAGTTATTATGTTTTGAAATTTTGATTACAGCTTGATTCCACACTGTATTTTTGGTACAAGTATGGAATTTTCAGGATGGATATCAGTAGCCCAAATTCTGCAGGCCGACCATTGATATCAAGTGTGCGTCGGCAGGGGATTGAACTCTGTACCGTGGGGACGATCGGTGAGAGTCCGAACCACTGTGGCACAGACGCACACACATGATGTTAGCTCAGACAGCCGAGAAAGATAAAGTGTGTGTAGACAAATGGGTGACATACTAATGTATTCAATAGTCAACAGAATATAAATTTTAATGGGGAGGACGGGGAGGGGAGTGAGTTACATTCAATGGTGTGAGAGGAAAATGATCACCACAAAATACATGCAAACAAATACCACCAAGATCAAGGGCTGACAGATATCAAGTTCAATGGTAAAATAAAAACTTTATCAACAGTGATAAACACTAACTTACCATAATCAGTTCACTTGGTATTGGGAAATTGAAATGTGCATATTTTTTCAACAGTGGTTCAATAAAATACTTCACAATAATTAAGAATATAATTGAAATACAGGATATAAGCAGGGTAGTTAAATTTACACTTCGAATATTTTTAAATAAGTTTACATAAACCTGAAAAAGAGATATGTATATGCATACTACTGAATTTGAGCATGAATTATTAAAAGGTAAGACTACAAAGAAAAAATAAATGGAGTAATTCGTTGGATGGTGACTAGCAGTGGAATCCAGAATGTGAATGTTTCGCCAGATTCGCGACTCGTCATCCAGACGCACCTCCATCCCCCAGTCAGTGATGTTGTCCCCACTGAGACTCGAACTCAGTGCACATCGTTTCAAACGTCATTACGTTGTCCACTAGACCACTTGGGTCACGAGAACCCCTTTTTCTTCAGTGAGGATAAGTTATTATGCCGTTTACTTTATTCTAATCCTGACATATCGTGAAAGCGTCCGCACTAGCAGCCTACACGCCAACAGCGGCTGAACATTTAGGTTCAACCAATAAAATGGGAAAGTCAAAACGGAATTATGAAAATAAGATGAATCAATCAAATTTTATTTATTATTTTATTGCATTCGCCCTGTCGAGTGAAACAATAGGGAGGCTTCAAGCTTGATTACTGAAGTTTCAGTAGCAGTGGTGTTATTCCATTTTACAAGATGGGGTTGCTACTCTCCCACCGAAACTTCCCTCTTTATTTTTTTTTATTTATTTATTTATTTTTGATTACAGCTTGATTCCACACCGTATTTTTGGTACAAGTGTGGAATTTTCAGCGTGGATATCGGTAGCCCAAAATTCGCAGGCCGACCATAGATATCAGGTGTGCGTCGGCGTGGGCTCGAACCCCGGACCATGTGCATGATCGGCGAGAGTCCTAACCACTGTGCCACCGACGACACCCGACTTACAACCCGATTAGCTAGGTTTAGGTGTATATCGGCAGGAGGTTGAACGCCGAACCAAGTGAGGCGTGGTCAACAAGTATCTTACTGCTGAATAAACAAAAAGTATGTACAAAAATCAATAGACTTCAATCTTCGCCTACCCTGGACTGCATGACCTATCTTAATATGATTGGTCATTAGTATGTACTTTTGTGTTGATTTATTTAACTGAGTAATTTTCATGAACTTTATTTTATCATTGTTAACCATGTTAGTTGTAAAGCGGTTGTAAAGAAACTACGAAATGATGATATCATCTCGCGAAATTTGTCTTCTTAATGCCTTGTTCAAAAAGTATGCATAAATTATCTAAGTTAATCTGTTTGTTTTATATTTGTGACTCATACAAAACTTCCAAAACAGACGAAAAATCAATGTCTGGTCCAGTTTGATGAATTCAGATTGTTTCTGGTGTTTCGTTCAATTCCAATGAATAATTAGCCTACCTATAATGTCTATTGGTGAAATATTCGACGGTTTAGTGTTAGAATACTTACTCATCAACTATGCATATCGTCTGTGGTTGATTCCCCGGTCGATGCATTCCTAAATTTCCCTCAGCCGACAGCCATACATTTTTCACGGATACAAAATGATGGCTATTATGATAGATACGGTGCTACTTATTTGCATAGATCCACCCCATTCCTACTACTCCTCTCACATATGGTCATCGAAAGTAGAATATATTGGCTAGGTTGTCAGTTTTCTTTGATTTATGGAGTATACGAATCGGAAATGCATAGTTGTCAGTCTTCAGATTAGATGTACAGTTTACAGCGAGAAAAACAAATTAAGGTAGTGATTCTTGAGTGAATAAGATACTTGGGAGATAGATAATGTTTGAGGAATCAGAGACTTCCATCATTAGTAAGTAATTAATGTCCATCATGAACAGGCATCAGTTAGAGTAATATTGAAAAACCAGCCGGAAGTACTGGACAGCTGTCTCTGCTGTCCTAGTTTGAGATCTTTCAACAGTGCTCACCGACTTGGCGTAGAACCCGGGACCTTGTGGTCATACGGTGAGTTTGTAGACCATTCAGCTACTGGAACGCGATCCAATCGCCAGCCCATGAATTCTAACTTCTGCCAGTTCATGACATAGTGCGAATACTTCTCAATGTCTTCTTCAATGAGTTACTGCCTCACCCTCAACCTGCTACGCTCTACTGGTCACGGATTCCCACTAGAAACCTGAATAAAGCCCGTTGGTAGTATGCATCTCATTGATTTTCATTTATTGATTTTGTGGAGAGCTCGTTTAACTGTTTGGAGGATTTCATCATGAGCTGACATCTAGCTGATGATCAAATCCTCCAACCAATTGAACAAACTCCCTACAAAATCAATACTTGAAAATTGATTTGTTTCTCTGTTTGATTGCCCGATTGTCTTAAAATAATGGAGGAGATAATTGTCGCAAGCTAATACGGAAACACTACAGATGCTCCGACTGGTAATATCTTATACGAATAACTAAGAGAACTTCTTTGTTATTAGTATTTAACTCTCGACTGCGTCTGTTATGGCCTAGATTGAAAACAGGCTTAAACATATTCTGTGTGAAAATATCCAACAGGTGGACAGTTTTCTTTCTGTCGTTACCATGGTTATTTGTAGGGACATATAAACTACCTAACAGCCTACCTACCTACCTATCTAAGTCTCACCTGTCTGTATTTTGACCAATCATATCTCGGTTATTAAGTGGCTAGACTAGTGTACTTAGTGCAGTTTGTCTTGCCAAGTTGGTAATAGCCTACTCTCATCTACATAAACCTTTTTATGGGTTGCTGAATTATTGGTTTATGATACCTGATGGCTTCAATGATGTTTCTCGAGTTGGATGCAACAATGGCTGTGCTTGTGCTGTATGCTATGCTGCTACTACGGTGATAGTAGCCACGGTAGTTAATGCTGTTTCATAGCTGGAGAATATTTCAAATATTGACTTACTTTGTCTTTACATAAGTCATAAACACTCTCGCTTTGCAAATTAGTTAACAATTTGTAATGTACACAGCTTGAGGGAGCGGCAACAGTAAAGAATAGACATCAACTTCAGACGACCTTGAAACGGCCAATCAAATTATTCTAGGTGAAAGTGGTACCTAATTTACAAAAAAGTGTATCTACGATATATACGAATCATATAGCGTATATATCTCTAATATGCTGCAAAAACTGGTCCCAGAGTCTCAGAGAAGTGGTTATAGACATATTAAACCACTGAATTCTTTATTTCTGCAGCTGTAGCAGATACTGGTTGCATATACGCAATACATTACTAAGAGAAAGCTTTGATTTTGGGAAGTGTCTTAAAGAATCACCAATCAAATAGGACTTACCAACTTATACAGACTTCCTCATACAAAGTGGTTGCATCTCAATGTATAACCATTAGTGGTTGTGCAAAACGTTTGCCGAGTCATTATCTTCCACATACGCATGTTTTATTCCTTCCTATCAACACATTTGCCACAGAGAAGTCAAAAACCAAATCTAGGAGACATTTTCAACGCGGGTTATGATCAGCAACCATTTGTAATGCTGAGCTATCTGATCGGTCAAATCAAGGTCATTTGATTTGGATATCTATTGTTTACTCTTGCCGAGGGAGCTAACTTTCACTCCACTTCACACTGGAAACCAAACTGTTCACATCACAGTATTTGATCTGCTTCATACCATGAATGGTAGTTAAGATAGAAAGCATACTTGAACAGATATAAGTATGAAACTTGGGCACTGTGGTAGAGTATAATTCGATTATGGATAAGATTTTATTTTGATATATCACACAGTGTTGTACACTAGTATTAAATGATGACCACGTTTCGAGCACAAACTATTGCTCCTCATAATCATATCAAGTTGCTCACTCACACAACTGTTTTTCTTCATTTATATACATGTGTGGAATCGATTAGACATTGGATTAAAATTCAATGTGAGATAATGTACATTCAAAAATAATAATGCGAGTGTTATTGATCAATAAGACGAGTGTTTTTACAGTCATAATAAGCTACTTGTTAGAATGTTGACTGTGGCAATAATACGAGTGTTATTGATCATTTACAATCAGATGGGAAATACAACGAGTCTCATCCGTTAACTGTTAAGGCAGGCTTAGTGAAATGTCTAACAAATCGAACCATAGCACTAAATAGCCCAGTAAAAGATTTAAATGACGAGATAAAACAGATAGAAGAATCGTTGGTGTTGAACAACTATCCTATAAAATTAATCAGGAAGATCAGTAAAGGCCAAAAATAAAATAAAAATAATTGTGGAACTAGTAATGATAACAAAAATAAGAGAGAATATAAGTTATCCACTGTTATCCCATATAAGGAGGGGACATCTGAGACCCTACGTAGGGATTCTTACTTAATAAAGCAGGAATTAGGGTGGCATTCAAATCTACAAACTCACTCAGGGACAGGCTCTGTGGGTTAAAGGACCCTGTTGACCCGATTAGACAAAATAATATAATCTACAAAATACCCTGCAATGACTATGTGTTAGGTCAACTACATAGGTCAAACTAGTAGGTCGGGGATAGTCAGATGATCAGAACATAGGAATTTAGCCAAGGGAAGAATGGTTGACCCTGAAAAGTTAGGTAGTTTAGAAAAAGCTCAGCTATTGCACTTCACTCAATAACAAACAACCACACAATAGGGTGGGAGAGGGTTAAAATTCTAAAAAGTTATATAGGTGGGTGGAGACGGAGAGATTGATTTCGGAATCCTTGTTCAGTGAGTCTACATCCAACACATGCAACACAAACGACTCAATGCAAATGCCAGAAATATGGAAGATATTACTACCTCAAGTCAAATCAGAAGAGGATAATAAATAATCTTAAAATTCTATTTCAATTCAAACACATCACAACATTCTAACAGATGGCTTATAATGACTGTATGAACACTCGCTTTTTGATGGTTAACACTCGTATTTTTATTTCCGAATGTGCTTTATCTCATACTAATTTGTAATCCAATATCTAATCGATTCCACACATGTATATAAATGAAGAAAAACAGTTGTGTGAGTGAGCAACTTGATATGATTATGAGGAGCAATAGTTTGTGCTCGAAACGTGGTCATCATTTAATACTAGTGTACAACACTGTGTGATATATCAA